AAGAACACAGAAGACCAGTCATAACAAAAGAAGACCAGTAAATAACACAAAACCGGTCATAACCAAAGACAGAAAAAGGAAAATCCAGACAGTACACAGAGACCAGTACAGTAAACACAGAAGACCAGTACAGTAACACAGAAGACCAGTACAGTAACACAAAACCAGTACAGTAACACAGAAGACCAGTACAGTAACACAGAAGACCAGTACAGTAACACACAAGACCAGTTGTTCAACTTGTCCAACCTTTGGACGAAGACCTACTTCTACTAGTGGATGGTACCACTATGACCTCGCCTCCTCTTGCTTCGCCTCACCTGACTACAGTATATAAGCCACGTCTACGGCGCTATACTGTACATTCACAAGATATGGACTGAACAATCGACTCCAGGCTGAGGACTGATTACCTCAAACTTCACCTTTCCTTACACCTTTCTACTTTGTATTGGACTGATGAAGCCACTGTGTGGCGATACGTTTCCTCAGTAAGGATTCCCATATGTTGCATAAGTGTCTCAACTTTTCAAATTTGTAAAGGAGTACTTGCATTAAAGGAGGGTTTGGGATACTGGCAGTTTGGATGGATGTGCAATAGGACGGTATATATATAATTGGGGCCCTGATATTATATTCTATATGGAATTTACTATATTATTTCAGGTCAGTTTTCATATTGTATCTTTATATATGTTGATAAATTAGATACATGTGCAACTCTTGGGTATCTTTATAGAGGAAACGTTTCGCCACACAGTGGCTTCATCAGTCCATACAAAGGAGAATCGTGAAGAGCAGCAGGAGAATGAGGTAATCAGTCCCTCAACCTTGGGTCGATGTGGTCAGTCTATCAATCTTAAATAGAATACAGCATATGAGCGGAGATGTAGCTTATATACTGTAGGCAGGAGAGGTGCAGCAGTCGTAGGTGGTGTCACATTTGTTCAATGTGGAAGTAGGTCGTGCCCAAGATACCCAAGAGTTGCACATGTGTCTAATTTATCAACGTGTCGGTTCTCTGAACCATTCATCTACAATCTTTATATATGTTTCTAAACTGTTGTATCTGGGCGCCTCTGCAAAAACAGTGATTATGTATGAGTGAGGTGAAAGCGTTGAACGATGATGAAAGTTTTTTCGTTTTGGGGTTTTTCTTTCTTTTTGGGTCACCCTGCCTCGATGGGTGACGGCCGACTTGTTGAAATATATATATATATATATATATATATATATATATATATATATATATATATATATATATATTATATATATATATATATATATATATATATAATGCACTCTAAAAAATGTTCAACCAAACTTATTTACTACACTTTCTTTAGTTTGTAAAGTGCGTAATTAATAGCAATACTTGAAGTATTAGTCTAGAATAAATTGTCATTGTAAACTGTAGATGAATGGTTTTGAAAACCGACAAGTTGAAGAATTGAGACACTATGCAAATATGCGAATCTTTACTGAAGAAACGTTTCGCCACAAGTGGCTTCATCAGTCCTATACAAAGCAGGAAGGTATTAAGGAGGAAGAGTTCGAGGTAATCAGTCCCTCAGCCTGGAATCGATGTGTTCAGTCTATCAATGCTGTAGAAAGTACAGCACTGGACCGTAGCAGTGGCTTAACTAATGTAGTCAGGTGAGGCGAAGCAGGAGGAAGCGGGGCCATAATGGAACCATCAACTAGTCTAAGTAGGTTTTCGTCCGAAGGTTGGACAAAGGTTTTCAAAACCATTCATCACATCTGTCAGACACTGCATCATCATGGGATCTTGATACCAAGAATTCGTCAAAACTTGTCCAACCTTTGGACGAAGACCTACTTAGACTAGTGGATGGTTCCACCATAACCCCGCCTCCTCCTGCTTCGCCTCACCTGACTACATTATATAAGCCACTGCTACCGTCCTTTGCTGTACTTTCTACAAGATTGATGGACTGAACACATCGACTCCAGGCTGAGGGACTGATTACCTCAAACTCCTCCTCTCCTTATACCTTCCTACTTTGTATAGGACTGTGGCGACAAGTATCTTCAATAAAGATTCCCATATGTTGCATTGTAACTGATTTTTTTCTTTGGGTTTCGACCTCCACCATGATTATGAAATCATGACAATAACCCCATATTAGTACAGAAGAGTGGAAAGCTGACATATTGTGTTGTATTTACATATTGTCGGTATTATCTAACATGGTAATATTCTCAGGAAAGTTTGTGAGAAGTTACAATGTTGTGACCATATACTGAGTGAAAATAAGTTTAGAAACATTCCTTTGCACAACTCTCAAGTTTCTTGACATCTGTTATAAGAATATTCATGGTGTCCAACAGCAACATTATACATTGTTTCTGCAAGTTTATGCTAGAAATTTCTTCTAAGAATATAATAATCCTGTTGTATTTGTTTCTCTCAACAAGACATTGCTTAGTACATTGTAGGTCATTACTTATATCTATTCCAATACTTATGCCTATTGATCTTCCATGATAATAAATCAATTAATATTGTAATCATCTGATAGTTGTCTCCAGTTAAAGTTTACATTACAATAAATACATAGATATTATTTATTATGAACTTAAGTCTCCATTACAAGCTTCTGTCATGCTCATGACTTTCATGTTCATGACTGTCATGTTCATGACTGTCATGCTCATGACTTTCATGTTCATGACTGTCATGTTCATGACTGTCTGAAAAGTCTGTAGATGACTCAGAATTTAATCGTATCATTAGGATGAATTTCATCATAGAAGACTTATTAGCATCCACATTATCTTCGTTAATAGTGATTTTATTTTTCTTCTATAGATGCATTTCTCAATAATTTATCTTTAATAAACAAATTGTTTCCATGAACTACCAGTTCATATAGAATGTGATACCGGCTTTGTAAGTCAATGTTTTACTTATGTATAAATAATAGCCGCTTACTCGGAATTAACATTCCTTTAATTTCTCTCTTGGAATTTGTATTACCACAATTATCAGATGTTAGAGGATATGAGTTGATCCTTAACTTAATCCTGCAAGAGTAGCTCAGGATGGAGGAATGACTAACTCGTTCCTGCTGTGAATCTGTCAGTCTCGTCCTCCTTTGTCACCACGGCTTCTTCCCTCACTCTTCCTTTACCTGTATCGTCCATACCTTCCCTTCCTCTACTAGTCATGTAGTTGCAGGTCCTATATCACTGTGATGTGGACCAGTAACTTGAAATTTCAACCAGCCTCTATCACTGCTGAAATTATCACTGATGTCTATAAAATGTACTTTGTAATCTGACTTACAT